CAGAAGCAGGTAGGCTTCTTGACATCAAAAACACAGCTTCATGAAATATTAGTGCTTTCCTTCAGCTGCTACCCCAAGAAGCTCTGATGGAAAGAAGAGCTCAGAGCACAGAAGAGTCAGCTCCAGAGTGTGACAGAAGCTCCCCGCTGCTCCTGCAGTGCTAATTAGGGGAGCGCATGGTGACCGAGAGGGGGTGAGGCCCAGAGGCTGCGATAAACAGAACAAGATAAAAGCCCTCAACCAGGACGCAGACGGGAAGAGGAGTTGGAGTGTGCAGCACTCACATCTCAAGGTTAGTTACCATCTCAGAAAAGAAGACCAGAGGTGTCCAAGTTCACACTTTGCGTTAATCCTGTGTGAAAGGCGGGGGGGGGGGGGGGGGGGGGCGGGGGCGCCAGTGAAAGTGCAGGACAAGCAGATAAGGCTGGGAAGGGGTTGCAGGAAAAAGCTGGAAAAGTTTGGCAATGGGCACATTTTGCTCTACTGCTCCCCGGTCTGCTTCTCGAATAGCATTTATAATACCTAGATCTGAGAGTGTAGTTCTTGAAATAAGAAAACTGAGCTAATTTTACCAGCATCTGGGCTATCAATCAAGCTAAACTATCCTCTCAGGAGAGACCAAATGAGGATGAACTTAAATAATAAATGTCCACTAGCCAAAGATTTATTATCCTACTCGAGGGTTGGGACACTTTTCTGTAGAGGGTCAGACAGTTAATACAGCTTTGTGGGCCCTGTGGTGTCTGCCACACACACTCAACACTGCTCAGCTTGACCAACATGGTGCAGAAACAGCCGGACACCAGGTAGACAAATAAGCATGGCCATGTTCCCACCAAGCTGTTCAGGGAAGTCAGATAGGGGGCTGCATTCAGCCTGCAGGCCACAGTTCACAGAGCCCTGCCCTAAGGCATCCCTGCCCCACCCAGACTGAAGTCTCTGCTTGGGTGGAAGTTGGTTAGCATCATCCACTCAGAGTAGTCCCACGTCTGGGGACAACACATGACTTACCAGAGTTTTAAGGGTATCATGGTCCAAAGGAGACCACATATACCCTCATTGGAAAGACTGTCCTGGTGAGAGTCATTGAGGGTGGGGCAGAAACCCAGGCTATGTCATGTTCCAGTTGACAACGTACTAGGAGCATAGCTTTGTAACCTCTGGGACATCCTAGTAGCAGGCATACAACACAGTCAGACCCTTGCAGATGAGGGGTCAGAGGACCTCTTACCTGGGATCTCCCTGGCCCCAGTCACTTGTAGTTTGGCACAGGCTTTCTGTCTCCCAGTATGGGAGTAGTTGTCTGAGCGAGCATGGAAATGTCTCCGAGTGAGAAGAATCCCCACCATGGCTGGTGGGTGCTGCAGCATGAGCTGAGGTCCTGGGACTTGAGCAGATACTAGAATCTCCCAATGTTCAGAACAGCAGAGACAGACATCTGGGGAGGCAGAGCATATTACAGATAGTGGGAGCAATGGGATCGTGGCCATAGAGATGCTCCTCCCTGTGTGGACAGCTTCAGAGAAAGGGACAGCATGTCTGAAGACCTGGCTGGGCTCAGCCACCTAGGAGTCTGCATTCAGAGGCAAAACTGTGAGCTGAATTCATGCCTGTGTGACTGGCTGAGACGTTTTTAATAGTAGAGAAATCCAGTAATATTTTGATTAATGACTTCCTTGAGGACAAAGCTCTCTCATACAGACAACTCTATTAGAAAAAACCTCAAGCCAACATCCCTTCATAAATCATGCAAAAAATGGCTGCCGACACAAACACGAAAATAGCTCAGGTGCAATCCCTATTTGTCTTTGGTTAGATGTTGATAAATAGAGCTCATCCTTAGCAAAGTTGTAAAAGCTGAACTTTATCTTCAGCTGCAAGTCTTTCTACACCTTTCTTCTGAATCTGTGACCTCTACGTCCCTCGAGTCCAGAATGTAAGTGCACTTCAGTTCTCTTCATCCCTTAACTAAGTCAGCTATGGAAGCCTTGGGAATTAAGAGGTGCCAGGGTCCCACCCTGGGGGCAGGTTCCTTTAAAACCTGTGGAACTGGTGGCTATTGACTGAAGAAAAATAAAGTTGAATAGAGTTTTCAAAGGTGGGAACATAGGGGACCACTGCTAGTTTGGGGGTTCTAACAAGCAGCCCTGAGTGTTTGTTTCACCCAGTTTTTATTGAAGTTTATTTTCTCATTTATCTAAGAGGGTAAGTTGAAGAAGGGAACAAAAACTTCAGCAGTTTTTCTCAATAAGCAAGCATGTTAGTTCTTGCATAAGAGCTAACTTTAATCATTAACTTTAAGGGTCTGAGCGGCCTTGAGAAATCTAAAACCTGAGTCTTGTGTGGGGGCAGCCTCCTGTCTGTGGTCACACACACAGATCCCTTTGGGAAGGTTAAGCCTCTCCTTCTCTGTGGAGCAGATACAGTGGCATCAAGTATTCTCTGAAGATTCAGTGGAAAAGAAGAATTTTCTTCTGATCCTCACCTGAAGGCATTTCCCTCCATGGTTAGGGTACAAGTGCTCCTGCCCATATTTCAGGGTTTGAGCTGATCCCTTGATCTCCGCCCTGGCCATTATACAAATCCCCACAATGGGTATTTGTTTTGACTGTTGACTGGGCAGGGGACAGTCTGGTTAATGTTCCTTCCAGGCCTTGCTTTTACTTCCATTACAGCCATTCTTCTTCAGAGTATTTACAGACCCAGCAGGGGTGTTTGCAAGCTCTATCCCTTACAGGCCAGCCTTCTAGTAAAAGCAGAAACTGCTCAGACAAGTAATTTAACTGCTAGTTTAAAAGTAAGCCAGCTAAACTGTTTTAATTCTGCCTTGCTCAGCTTATTTTTCTGATTTTTGCCCTCTTCTGGAGGTGTTTTCCCTCACCAAGAATGGGGTTTTGGGTCCCCCATTCTCCCAGCCAAGGGTGCCTATAATTTATTATCAATTACTTTTTCTGTTATTCCCCTTTCAGTACTCCTCCCACACACCTAAGGAAGTTTGCTTAGGACCTGGTTGTAGGAGCCATTGAGAGTGCAGGATGCTACGTTACATCCAATCTCTTTTGGGGCCCAAAGCAGCACACTCTTGTGACAGGTGCTTGGTGGGTTGTCCCTTCTCCCTTTCTACTTGCACCTCCTATCCTCCTTCATCCAACTCTGACCCATCTCCCTACAAAAATTCACATTTTTACATTTGCTTATTAAGAACTCAGTGCTTTTTTTTAATGCCTCGAATCATTTATCTGACAACCTGGATTGTGATCTTTTGCATTATTTATTTCCATCTGTCATCATGAAGTCGTGACATAGAGTGTGCCTCTGAGTTCTAATCTTAGAATGTACTGTGAGGCTCAATTTGCATCTGTGGATGGGATGGTTGGGGGATGAAGTCAAATCAATAAATACATGGGCAAAGGAAAATGGTGTGGCTTCTGAAGCTGGTAAGACTTGGGGTGAATTTACACTCTTGCTGTTTATTAGAGGTAATTTTTTATTGAGGTGAAATTCACATAACACAAAAGTAACCTCTCAAAAGTATACGATCCAGTGGTTGATTAATAAATTCATGATGTCCTATAATTACCATCTTTATCAAATCTCGAAAGTTTTCATCATCCCCCAGGAAGACCCCGTCCCTTAAACAGTCAATCCCCATTCCCTCCGTCTGACAGCCGTGAGCCACCACCAATCTGCTTTCTGTCTCTACGGATTTATGCATTTGCATATTTCATATAAAGGGGATCCTAAAATCTGTGGCCTTTTGTGTCTGCCTTTTTTCACTGAGTCTAATGTTTTCAAGGTTCATTTGTGTTGTACCACAAATCAGTACTTCCTTCCTCTTCACGGCTGAAATATATTCAATTGAAAGAATATACCACTATTTGTTCACCTGTTCACCTGTTGGTGGACATTGAGTGGTTTCCACCTTCTGGCTCTTGTGAACAACAATGCTATGAACCTTGGTGTACAGTGTTTGTTTAAGGACACATTTTCAGTTCTTTGGGGTGTATACCTAGGAGTGGAACTGCTGGATCACATGGTAGTCTGTTTAACTTCTTGAGGAATGGGCAGCTATACCAATCTCCAGTTTCCATTTCCATCAGCAACACACAAGACTCTTAACTTCTCCACATCCTCCCTGACACCATTCCTTTCCCACTTTTGATGATAGCCATTCCAGTGGATATAAAGTGACTTCTCATTGTGGCCTTTGTCTGTGCTTCTCTAATGGCTAATAATGTTGAGCATCTTTTGAAATGTTTCTATATCTTCTTTGGAGAAACACCTATTCAAATAACTAGCCTATTTTTAAGTTGGGTTGTTTCTTTCTGTTGCTGAAATGTCAGAGTTCTTTATCATTGATACTAGACCCTAGTCAGATATATGTATGATTTATGAATATTTTCTCCCATTCTGTCCTCACCACCAAAGAAAATGCTTGAAATCAGCAAGAGGCAGAGATGGAAGGAAAGCTCCGCCCACAGCTGTCCTCGCTGGGTGGAGCCTCCTCACCAGGCCTCTGCTCTCCTTTCCCAAGCCTGTCAGCCCCCAAGCTCACCTCTCAGCAAAGATCACCAGGGTCTTTTCATCTGAAAGCTGGAACACTACCTCCCTTTTCCCACCCCACTTCTCTGCTTTATTTTTCTTCATGAACTTACCATCTTTAATTTACTATGTATTTTATTACTTTATTTTAGTTTCTGCCTCCTCCTTGGAGAATGTAAGTTCTGTGAGGGCAAGAATTATTTTCTTTTAATATGTTACTGTATCCTTGTTGTATAAAGCAGAGTTTGGCACCAAGAACTTACCCAGCAAATGTTTATTGAATGAATGAATGACTTTGTAGATAATGAAACCTTGAAAAATAAACTGTTTCTCCGAGAGAGAAGTAACTCAAATCTGCCCATCATTATACTCGAACAAACCTGCCTTTGAAGCTAAGATCTCTTTCCTGTGTTCATACTTCAGAAAAAGAAGACATGACTGATAATATCTAAGAGGAAGGAAGCGGTGCATCGTGCTGGGACTCTGCCTGGATGTTATAAAATTAATTTTTTTATAGACCAGCCTTTCAATCAATTTCTGGAGATGGGTTATCTTGCTTTCCTTTTGGCTATGCTTCATGTATACAAAGGTAAAGATAATCTTTATGTCTTCATTTTTAAAATTTGGCCTCACAGTATGACATGTTCAGAATTCATAATGCTTAGTGGTTTAGATAATTTCTCACTTGTTCAGAAAAATTAAAATTTACAATTGCCAGTTGTCAGTGGTGTAAAGCTTTTTAGACTAAGGTAGCAACTGTCAGCCTTTATCATGATTTCAATTTGCAATCTTGCTGGGTCTGAGGAAGCCTGTGGTATTTATTTGCAGTCTCTATCATTAAGTCTAACTGAATTCATGTGGTGTTGTGTATTTCAGCTCTGTCTGAAGAGATATTTTGGGACACAACTGTTAAACTGGCTGAGAATATGACTCTAGAGTGTGTGTATCCATCCGCAGACACCTTAACGCAGATGGAGTGGTTCAAGGTCACTTCAGTGGAGAAAGAGGCTGTAGCTATTTTCAGCCCTACTCACGGTGTGGTCATAAGGCCGTCCTACGCGGACAGGGTTTTCTTTGTGAATTCCTCGATGGCCCCCAATGATATCAGCCTTTCTTTTCATAATGCCTCCGAAGCTGATGTCGGCTTCTATTGCTGCTTCCTTCATACTTTCCCACAGGGAACCTGGGAAAAGGTGATCCAGGTGGTCCAGTCAGGTAAGGGCAAGTTTCATTTTCATTTTTATCCACCTACAGCATTCAATTCTATAAAGCCCAAGTCGAAGCTACAGAATGTCTTATCATATGTTGGTGGCAGTTTCCAGTTCCATTTCTGGGTACCATGATACTGTTGATTCAGTGGGGTAATACTGTGAGCCAATTTCACTTTTTCTTAATGTGCTATAACTTCTGGGCAGATGTCTCACAAATCTGCACGTCGTGCGGGAAAGACAGGCTTTATGATGTCTTAATGATAACTGGAGCCTGCATTAAACTGATGTTGGCAACATATGGGTTAGGAGCCACATCCCTCCCAGGGAAGCTGTGGCGTTCCTTTAGCCGGGCACTCAGCCTTAACTTCAACCCTCCAGACGTTCAGGGTCCTTCCTTCAGCATTTGAATCCTGGGCAAAGATCAAACACTGGCTCCATCTTTCATCTCATCCAAGGTTAGCTAGAGAAGATACTTTTTTCAGGAATTGCTAGCTGTCATGTCAGAAATAACCTAATGACTTCTTAGTCATTTTCTGCCAGTGACTGATGGTGGTTTGGGCCCTCTCGTAATGGCCTCATGGAGTGCATATTGTGTATTGGAAAACTTGGGATTCATAGCCATTACTTCCCATGTAGCCTCATGTTAGGTGCTTGATTGTCCCAAATGTCAAGTTCTTAAATAGTAAATTGAGTTAGTAATACCCTTCTATCTGTTGAATGGTTCAGGAATAATGTACTTAGAGAACTTGGCTGATGGTAGAGAATGATCAGTATTCTCTTCACTATCATTATTTCCTATCATTTTGACACAAAATGACTAATGTGAAATTTTTAGATATCATTGACAGTCTAAAGAAGATAATATTTTGTGTTTTTTGTCCGGTATCTCTTAAATTATACTCTGTGGTCATTTCAAGGAGAACATTATATGACATCTGGATAGCGCTTTATTTTTAAGCTACTCATATGCTAGAAGAACAATTCTAGTATTGCGTGAGTAACGTCAAATGGTCAGGGGGGAAGGGAGATCTCTGTGTGTTTAGTTTTTCCTTTCCTTTAGGTGTAACTAAATTCGATGATAATGTCATGCATATGGCTGAGGCTCACAGAGTGTCAATTAGCAAAACAGCTTTAGTTAAATGCTTATTTATTAAAGACTCAGGTTCTCATATTCTCATATACTGTTGTGTTCAGGCATCTGTTAAACGCTGTTTGCGAGTTGTTAGTATATAGTTCACTTTTGACCAGTCATGCAAGTGATGGAGAGAATTAGAAAGTGTTTTAAAACAGAATGAGCCGTTTGATACCACCAAGGCTAGAGCCAGCTGGGCTGACCCTCCCAGCTGTACACCTTTGCAGTTTGGGTTCCAGATTAGGTCAAAGGGAAAACAGTTGAAAACAGGTAGCTCTGGGCAGTGCCTGTGGCTCGAAGGAGTAGGGCACTGGCCCCATATGCCAGAGGTGGTGGGTACAAACCCAGCCTCAGCCAAAAAAAAGAAAAGAAAGAAAACAGGTAGCTCAACCTTTACTGCAAGTTTAGAATAGAAGATAGAGCTAGAACTAAAAGCTGGCTGCCACCCCGAGGTGGGATTTTAGCATCATGTATGAATAGTTTTAGAAATATTTTCTATTTTTATCAACCAGATTTATTGCTCCTGCTAGTTTTGAGGTTAGGGAAACAGTTCTCTCTCATCATGAGGCTTTTTAAAAATACTGATGAGATTTTTGAGTCAGTGGTCTGTCAAAGGGGGTGCCTGGCTCCCCAGCTTGTTTAGTTCTTCACGATAGTCTCATTAATCACGTTTGGTTGCTGCCGTTTTTGGTCACTTATATTTTTAAAGAACAGATCGCTGTGATGGGCCTGTTAGAGTGTCTACCTTATTTCAGGATTTGAAGGGCTGTGTTTTTCTGAACCAAGAATAATAGTGAGTTTAAAAATATGTCAGTTGTGTGTGAAGATTAACTTAAAGATAATTTTTCCTTAGGTGTTTTATTAACAATGTACCAGAGTCTGTAAATATTGTGTTTTTGTAAAATATAGAGGGTGAGTTGACAATCTTATTTAATAATTTTTAAAAATCAGACTTGGAATCCAGAGATCTTACTTTGCATAATAGATTGACTTTGAAGAGGATGACCTAGGAGACAGCCTTGGGGATGGGAATGCCTGGGGGGGCCCGAAAGGATGAGCCCATGGCCATTGCACCTGCTGCCAGTGCTCATCCCCTTGGGTGTTCAGTCCAGATGAGCAGGTGAGATGTCTCATTCTGGATACCTAGTACTGCTAATACAGAATTACTCAGAAATATGTGTTTGCTTCAGAATAGGCATTTCTTCATTAGCAACTAATTTAGAGGGTGACAACATTGATTTTTACCTACTTTGTGGGAAAATATGCTAAGATGACTTGGAAGGGTTTCAAAGGCAGCCCTTTCACAGCAGAGCATGTGGGAATGCTCTGGAGAAGGCTGTTGCCACCAGTTAGTGTCTGGCCATCCCAGGCAGTTAAAGGAAATACAGTTTTACTATGGAAATTCTCCCCCAAATGGGTAACCCACTGAAAACACTCTGCTGCCTACACTTTCCAGGGCACTATTCTGTGGGAAGCAACTGAACACCATCTCATTTAATCCCTACAAAATACTGTGGGAAGGTAATGTTTTCCCAACTTAAGAGAAGACGCCAAGATTCAGGGTTGTTAAGTACCTGGCCCAAGGTCACTGAGCTGTCCACTCACAGTGCCAGGCCAAGCCCAGTCCATGAGTCTGAAGTGCTAGAAATGAGATGAAGGAGAGCTTGACTCCACCCAGTGAAGCAGGGAAAACTTGCTCTGGACCTTGAAGAATAGGAGGGAAATTTTTTAAGATAGAAAGATTGGGGCAAGGGAAGGACAGATGATGAGGAGAGAAGGGTGTCTTAGGAGGGTGATGGCATGGAGAAGGGCACAGCAGAAGTGTGAAGTTCATGTAGGGGGCAGAGCATGGCCTCTTTGATGAGGGCACTAGGCTTGGGTAGGCTGTGGTTCTTGCACTGGACTATGAGACTCTTCACTCCCACAGAGGTCGCCTTAGAGGCGGCCTCAGGGGTGAGGAAGAAAGACACTGCAAGGAGGGGGGCCTGCCCCTGCCTACACCAGCAAGGGCTCAGCATATGATCTTTAGGGTCTCGGGTAAGGCTTCGGTACAGTAGCTTTTATGTGCAAAGAGTTTGCAGTCCTCCAGGGCAGCAGAACATTAGAGACAAGCCTAGGAACTTAGTAGGGTCCTGATCTTGATGTGCCTAGCAGAGTTTAAACTCCAACCTGTCATGTGGACCAGGGAACATCTCTGAACATTTTTTAAGAGAGAAACACACAGTAAATTAAGTTTTTATTTCTTTCACCACTTGGAAGATTAAACTAGCTGTGGCCTTACAGGAGGGGAAGAGTTTAAGGGCAGGGTGAATGAATGAGATTCCATAGGTTGGAACATTTACACACTGCAGCAGGGCTGTCAATTGGTAGCTGTTATTTCAGTCTGATAAACAGAACCAATGAAGTGAATGTGCATATATGGAGAGATTTATTGTAAGGAATTGGCTCAGGCAATTATGGAGCCTGCAAAGTCCAAATCCTCAGTGTGGGTAATAGGCTGGAGACCCAGAGATCAGATGGTGCAGATGACGTCCAAAGGCTTCTACTAAAGCAGCGGTTCTCAACCTGTGGGTCGTGACCCACAGGAACTGTATTAAAGGGCCACGGCATAAGGAAGGTTGAGAACCACTGTACTAAAGAATTCCCTCCTATTCAGGGAGGTTGGTTTTTTTGTTCTTTCAGGTCCTTCAACTAACTAGATGAGACCCACTTACTTTATGGAAAACAACTGCTTACTCAAAATTCACCAATTTAAATGTTAATTTTATCCACAAACACCATCCAACTTGACACATAAAATTAATCATCACATCTGTTTTAGAGAAATGACGTGACATTAGCTAAAGAACCCCAAATCTCATGATGCAATAATTTCACTCTGTTTGATATCCCAGAGATTGCTCATGTATAAGAAATATTCCTGGCGATGTTTATAACAACAATGATTCCAATAACAAAATATGGGTCACAACTCAAATACCCATCAAGAGCAGAATGGACAAATCCTTTGAGGACTATTCATATACCAGGATACCTGCATGTCTAAAGAATGAATGAGTTATTACTGTATTCACCAGCAGGTGTGGACCTCAGGAACATCATCTGGAAAGAAAAGAGCACGTTACAAATGAAATAGATGGGGTAGGATTCCTTTCCTTGGAAAATTAAGCTATGTTATTTATAGATACTAACCTGGTAAAACTTCAAAGAAAAGGAAAGTTCTGTAATATGGGCCAGTGGGGAATAGAACAGAATTGGGAAGGGCTACAAGAATCTTCAAACTTCATGATTGAGATGACTTTCTTATAGGGGTTTTATTTCTTATTTGTCTCAAAATAACTTAAAAAAATTTTTTTGGCTGATCTACTGATTTCTATTAAAATGGTGAAAAGAGATACAATTGCAATTTTACAGCAATTCAAATATAATTTTCTAAATTAAGGATGAGTGCTTCATTCGGATTTGAACTGGGGGGGTCAGCTTGAGGGCATCTTCAACAATGAATCCAAATTTTTATAATCCAGACACTGAAAAATGGTGATTTCATTTAAAATGATGAGAAATTGGGAGGCAGACTTGGCTTAGAAGAGAGGACAGAAATCTCTTTCAGGTGTATTGAGTTGTAAAATAGCCTTTGACTACTGAAATTATGGAACAGCCAACCAGAAAAAAGGTCAGGATCAAAGACACCCGTTCTGAACAGATCTGAGTAATCTCCGAGCTGTATATGAACAAGATGGTTAACTAAGAAAGTGCTGACAGGTAGGGCAGGAGGAGGAGGTCTAGGCAGACAGTCATGTTGCAGTGGGTGAGGCGTTCGTGTTAAAGGATAGAGACACAGGGAGGAGAGGAGACACAGAATAGGTGAATCC